AGCGCATTGGTTTGATCTCGAGTTTTCTACCTATAAAAGCAAAAGAAGAAGTGGAGATACGAAAAATGTGTAAATAGAAGACTAAGTTTGCAAGAGATTGCGTGTTTTCCTCATGATATCCAAAGTAATGATTTCGAAGTGAAATGGGAAGAAGTACAAGAGTTTCAAAAAAGTTGAATTTCAGGTCGTGACAACTCTCCAGCCTGTGTAGCCGTCGCGTCTCCTTCGGCCAAATCTGATTCTCCAGCTCCTCAAACCCCAACCCTCGACTCAGCAGATCAATGCGGTGCTGAGGGTATAATTGCTTATCTCATACAAATCCCTTACAATATCAAACAAAGCTAAATTTTCAGTTTTACCCTGTGCTGATGTTGCAGCTAGAGGTTCCGGCGTTGCAGATGGTCTCTCCTTTTTCTATGATGAAAGCGAAGCGGCACAATGTGAAGATGAACAAGGTGGGTGACTTCTAGTTATATTGATTCGTGTATCTAGACCTTCATTCTTTTGTTGGGATAGTATTTTTCTCCTAGCTCAATATTTCGGCATCAAGTTAATTTTTATCCGTATATCAACTTGATGGGACTTTAATATTGAGTTGTATATTTTTTAGAAGATGGTGAGAACGCTCCAGATAGCGCATTCGTGCTAAACCTAGCGGGTAAAACAGTTCGATTCGCTAAAGGGATGGCATCTCCTGCTATTGACACCCCTCCTTCAAATAGTCGTCATATGTGTATGGTGGAGATGTTGGCACAGCGATGGAAAATGTTCCAGGAAGGAAACGGTAACCTTTTTTCAATTCTATTTTCGTGAAAAAAGCTCTTATTGCCTTATTCTTTGATATTTTCAATTGGTTCTTTGAAATCATCTGTTTCAGTTCCGAAAATCTATCAACCTCGGATTGCTTCATCCTGATGACTCACGTACGCTTGCCCAGTATGACTGCTAGCTGATTGAGCTCTTCGATCTAACGGCTTGCCTTATCTTCGACCGACTTCTATCATCTTGAATGTAGCGTCAGCGTTTCTTTTTTCTCGGCATAATTAGCGAGTGTCTCGTGTAGTTGTATTTTTTTTTATAATTTAATTTTTTTTTGTTTGTCCTAACTGATCCGCCGATTGCTTTCACTATCAAAAACTTGTCCGTTGCGTCCTGTGTTGATTGCTCGACGCG